CACCACCACCATCACCACCACCACCACCATAACCACAGGAAAAGGCTCACTTCTTCCTCCATCACCAGCAATGAAAGAAATTAATTTTCTTTTGAGGCTGAGGCCCAGGGTGAAGTTTTGGTTGGCCTTGGATAAAGAAGAGCAGATTTATTTTTGGGGTATGCATAGATGATGAGTTCATTTTTAGATACTCTTTTAATTTCCTTATGGTGCTATAAGGGAATTGAATGGTGAATCTAAGGGAAGATATGTATAATTATTATATGTCGGTTACAGAAACTAAAAGAGAACATTGTCTTTGCCTCTCTTTTTGCTATAATTATCCATCAAGAAGTATCTGTTGAGAACACATCTTTAAGATCAAGCCAGGTGGTAGTGTCACATGCCTTTAATTCTAGCACTTGGGAGGCAGAGGCAGGTAGACCTCTGAGTTCAGGCCAGCCTGGTCTACAGAGAGAGTTCCAGGACAGGCAGGGATACACAGAGAAACCCTGTGTCCAGAAAACAAAACAAAATCCCCCCAAAACCCCAAACCAAACCAAACCAAAAAAACCAACAACAAAACAAAACAAGATTAAATCATCACCCATCCATTCACTTTTCTCCATCTACTTATCCATCGTTTACCTACTTCTCTACCTACCCATATATTCCTCGTGCATGGATGCACCCATCTGCCCCGCCATATAACCGTTTACATACATATGTACCTACCCATTCACCCTTCACCCATTCTTGTGCTCCCCAAAGCTACTGCTTTTTTCCATGTAGCTCAGAATGGCCTTCAACTCACTGTGCTGCTAAAGATGACCTTGAGCTTCTGGTCTCCTTGCCTCTACTTCCCAAGTGCTGGGGTTACAGGGATGTGCTACTGTGCTGGTTTTATGTGGTTCTGGGCATCAAATCCACAGCTTTATGAACACTAGATAAGCAATCTATCAAATGAGCTACATTTCCAGCCCTCCAAACACTCATATACCAAACACGAATCCATCTGACATTCACCCATTTACTTCCCAACATCCCATGTATCCACCCATCCTGGGACATTCTAAACTTTGTATTGAGAATTCAGTGGTGAACAAGATAGACATTATTGACCTTGGGAAGTTTACAACCTCCTGGCTAGACAGACAGTAATGACTGCATAACGAAATATCACCCATCCATACACCCGCCTATCCACTCATTTATTCATTATTAACTGACATCACACAAGTATGAGTCAAGCTTTACCCATTAAGGCAGAGGTGCTTCCCTGCTACAGCCGCATTGCGGAGAGACATGGGGATTTCTCTGACGCTCCACCTTAACTACTTTCTCCCTCCTTCCCTTTTCTCTGGCCGGATTCAGACGCTTTACAACTCCATCAAGAACGAAAAGCTGGAATGGGCCATGTGAGTAGTGATCAAGGGTGTGGGTATGTGAGATTGGCTACCAGGAGAGGGAGTGGCTGGGCATGCAAACCACTCTCCATGGTGCTGATTTATCCTGACCCAGGCCCCTGACAACCCCTATCCAGCCGGCAACACCCATATGGGCTAATTTTTGACTTGATTACAGGTGTGCAAAGTTTACATTGCTGTAGAATAGATCCAACCATAAATTTAGTTCTATGAGTGTCCGTGACTGTTTTTTTTTTTTTTCTGTACTGAGGATATTGTGGAGTTCCCAATCAATGACAGCTTTCTCCCTTTCGGGAAGTAGGAGGGCAGGAGGCACAGGCCCCCTACAGCACTAGCAGTATGAAGATGTTTGTGCTTTTGGCAGTGGGAAGGGGTGAATGCTCCAACTATGAAGGCTGTGCACAACCATCAGCAAGGAAGGATGGAGGAGTTGCTGGTTGGTGGAGTTGTGAGAGGCTCTGGAGGGGGCCCCACGGCTTAGCTCCCCAGAGAAGATTGTGCCTTTGGGTATGTGTGGAGGCCTAAGTCTCAGGGAGGCCAACCCTGCAGAGAACCGGCACTATCCTACCAGGGCTCCCATGGAAGGCTGGGACTTCAGGGGCTTGCCCCGTGGTTCTACTATTCCCAGCTTGTTGGCATGGCTTGTGCAACAGCTTCTGCCTGCAGGGGGCTAGTGCTCCTGGGTCTGGAGAGGAGAAGGAAGATTGGGGGGAAGGAGACCTGAAGAAAGTCTCCAACTCTATGTTAAAGACGAAGATTAGCTTAGAGACCCTGAATCAAAGAATGGGCATTGAAGGTCAGGGCTGAAGATGAAGGGGAGGGGTCAGATCCCTGGAGCTGTATTCCAGAATCTTTTGTCTCCAGCCTTCATACCAGAGGGGTGGCTGATGGGAAAGGCTGTGGCAAGGGGTGGGGGTGGGGGGCAGGGCCTCTCAGGAGGTGGCTCTCAGGTCTGGTACCTTCCTAGTGATGAGAATGAGCTGAGAAAATCCCTGTCCGAGCTGGTGGATGACAAGTTTGGGACGGGCACAAAGAAGGTGACTCGGATCTTGGATGGTGGCAATCCATTCCTGGATATCCCGCAGGCCCTCAGCGCCACCACCTACAAGCACGGCGTGCTGACCCGGAAGACCCATGCTGACATGGACGGCAAGAGGAGTGGGTGGCAGGCTGGGGAAGGGGCCTGGGAGGGAGGGGTGCTGGTGTAGGAGGGCCCGCCCTTGGCCGATCCTTTGGGGACACACGCGAAGGTGGGTGGATGGATGCAGGGGGTGACGTGGTAGGAGAGTTACTGAGGCAGAAGGTTGCAGCCACGCTCCCTGTGCCTTTTCCCTCCTCAGCACCCCGTGGGAGGCGTGGCTGGAAGAAGTTCTATGCGGTGCTCAAAGGGACCATCCTGTACTTGCAGAAGGTGAGAGAGAGGGAGGGCTGCTCCAGAGCCCTACCCAGAAAGGGCTTGCTCAGTCTCATCCAGCCCCTGCCTGTGGTACCCAACTCAGGGTCTTCTGGCCAGGACGGGCCTAGAGAGGAGTCCGGGCTTTCTTCTATTAAGGGTCTGACCTGGACTCACTCAGGAGCTTTGAGGGTTTTGGGAAAGGGACTCTGAAATGCCAAGTGGATTAGTGTTAGGCCTCTGGGAGAGAGTGGGATGGGAGTGGGGAGTACATGGAGTGATTCTCGTCGGGGTCTGGGAGGGTAGAGGTAATGCAGAGGAGAGGGAGAGGGAGGGAGGGAGATGATGACAGGATGTGGGGGGGCAGTAAGCCACAGCCTGGAGTGACGCTCCGCTCTTCACTCAGGATGAGTACAGGCCCGACAAGGCTCTGTCTGAGGGGGACTTGAAGAATGCCATCCGGGTGCATCATGCTCTGGCCACCAGGGCTTCTGACTACAGTAAGAAGTCCAACGTGCTCAAGCTCAAGACGGCAGACTGGAGGGTCTTCCTCTTCCAGGCACCGTAAGTAGGAGCAGAACTGAGTCCCGTGAGCTCCACCCTCTTGGCCTCAGGGTGGACACCTTAGCTGCCTGGGCCGATGGCCACAGACTTGGTGTGTCTGCTTCAAGTCTTCCAGAGCAGCTGTTCTCAGTGTGGTCTTCTCTCTGACACCTGGAAGCTGGGTGGAGACGCCCCACCTCATTGCCCCATCTTAGGTCCACAGAGTCAGACTGGGTCCGAGAATCCTGCAAGGGCTGCAGGTGCACGCTGGAGTCCTGAAGGTTGGGATGATAGACCCCGACTCAACCCTTGACAGAGAAGCAGAGGTTGTGGGGGAAGGGCTCCCTCTACCATTGTAAGGCCTGCTCTGCTGCACCCCATCCTCTGTGCCTAGAAATGGGGTTTTCACATATCAGACAAGCTTCCCACGAAGGAGACTAGTATGTGAGGACGGAGGACCGAGTGGGAATGCGGGCCAGAGGTGGGGGCAGGACGGAGGTTTGCTCACTGCAGCTGACCCTGGAGTTCATGGGCTCTAGGGCATCGGTCCAGACCGGAGCAGGTTTATTTCATGGGAGTCCAGATGGGAGTTCCCTATCCGGTTCTGACCAGGCTCATCCACCCAGCTGCCCACTCCCACCTCCTTCTTCCTTCCTGTCCTTGCCTAGGTACTAGGGCCTTCTCGGCCAGACTTCATACTGAGTACTGCATGCCAGGTGCGGGGGAGGGCTGCGGGTCCTACCGTGAGAACCTGGAGCCCCTTTATGTTATTGCTTGTCCCCAGGAGCAAGGAAGAAATGCTGTCCTGGATCCTGAGGATCAACCTCGTGGCTGCCATCTTCTCCGCACCTGCCTTCCCAGCAGCCGTCAGCTCCATGAAGAAGTTCTGTCGACCCCTGCTGCCCTCCTGTACCACTCGCCTCTGCCAGGTACAAGCTCCTGGCTGAGGCCGCTGGCCTCTGCTCAGCTCTTTCTCTGGGTCATGTGGCCCTGGGCTGAGGGACACCAGGGAAGGAGAGCTATTCTCCCACCCCATCCCCCACTCACAGGTGGGAAGATGGAGACCCCCAGAGACACAGCACACAGAGGCCAGGCAGTTCTATGGTGGGTGGCATGGGCAAGCTTCCCTGACAGAGGCAGTGCAGCTTGTGGGTGTGCTTGTGGGTCTGTGGCATGAATTGAGAGGCTGTATATGGCAAAGGGACAAGTGGGACTTGGCTAACCCTTCATCCAGTGCTCTGTTTGATTGTTTAAAGATTTATTTTGTATGTGCATGTATGTGTGTGTACATTGTGCACTTATGCATGTACATGTGTGTATGTGTGCACGTGGCATGTATGTGCACATGTGTGTATATGTGCATGTGTGCATTGTGCATATATGTGCATGTGTGTGTGTATGTCACATCCTGCTTAACATGATCTTTAGTTCTATCAATTTTCTTTCTTTTTTTTTTTAAGATTTATTTATTTATTATGTATACAGAATTCTGCCTGCATGTGTCCCTGCAGGCCAGAAGAGGGCACCAGATCTCATTACATGTGGTTGTGAGCCACCATGTTGTTGCTGGCAATTGAACTCAGGACCTCTGGAAGAGCAGTCAGTGCTCTTAACCTCTGAGCCATCTCTCCAGCCCTCCTCAATTTTCTTATAAATGACACAGTTTTATTTTTATTTCAAAATGTATGTATAGTGTGTATGTTCCTGTCTGAATTTATCTGTACCACATGTGTGCAGGTGCCCACAGAGTCCAGAAGAGGGCATCAGATTCCCTGGAACTGGGGTAACAGGCAGTTGTGATCTGCCACCTGGTGTGAGTGCTGGGAACTGAACCTGGTTCCTCTGGAAGAGCGGGGAAACGTTCCTAACCGTTGAGCTACCTCTTCAGCCCCCATTATTTCATTCTTCATGGCTGAATAAAACTTCACATGTATATACACTACATTTTCTGTATCCATTCATCTGTTGCTAAGCAGCCAGGCTGACTGTCACTTGGCTGTTGTGAACAGTGCTGCAGGATGCATGAATGTGCAGGGATTGCTGTGGTGTGCTGACTTGGATTCCTTTGGGTGTATTCCCAGGAATGGTACAGCCGGAGCATATGGTAGCTTTTTTTAAAAATTTCATTTATTGTTTTGTTTGTGTATGATGTGTTGGGGGTGGGGCACATACGGCATGGTATGGTGGATGTCAGAGTCTGCGCCCTCCTCTACCTTTCCATGGGTTCTGGGATCTAATTCAGGTTATCAGACTTGTTCAGCAAGCAGTTCACCCACTGGGCTACCTCTTGGCCTTCTCTACTTTTAGTTTCTTGATGGCTTCCCTCCATAGTCTCCTCAGTAACTGCACTCTCTAATTCACAGTTCCACCACAGTGTGTGAGGAGGCTTCCATTCCTCCAGCCTTCACAAGCTTTGTGTTCCACTCTTCTTATACAACATTTTTTGAGACTTCATTTATTTTATTTAATGTGCATGGGCGTTTTTCCTGCACGTATGTCTGTGTCCCTTGCATGTGCCTGGTGCCTGTAGAGGCCAGAGGAGGGCATAAGATCTCTAGGAACTGGGGTTGCAGATGGTTGTGAGCCAGCATGTGGGTGCTGGGAATTGAACCCAGGTCCTCTGGGAGAGAAGCCAGCACTCTTAACCATGTGGCCATCTGTCTAGTTCCTATTTTTCACTTTTTAGAAACAGTCCAGTATTGACATTTGTCTTAGGGTTACTCTTGCCGTGATAAACACCATGACCAAAAGCAAGTTGGGGAGGGAAGGGTTTATTTCACTCACAGTTCCATAGATCAGTTCATCATCAAAAGCAGCGAGAGCAGGATCCTGGAGCAGGAGCTGATGCACGGGCCATGGAGGGGAGCTGCTTACTGGCTTACTCCCCAAGGCTTGCTCAGCCTGCTTTCTTACAGAACCCAGGACCACCAGCCCAAGGATGGCACCACCCACAATGGGCTGGGCCCTCCTCTATCAATTACTAATTAAGAAAATACCCTACAGCTGGATCTTGTGGAAGCATTTTCTCAGTTGAGTTTCCCTCCTTTTAGATAACTCCAGGTTGTGTCGAACTGATGTAAAACTAGCCAGGACAATATTCTTTATTATTTTTAAATAGCTTAGTAATATTGCGATGAAAACCCCATCGTACTAATACTACAGATTCTCAGGGTACTTTGGACAGGAAAGGATAAAGGATGGACCAGAACTTGAGAACAGAGGGCTGGCAAGCTGCAAACTTCCTCCTTCAGTCATTGGCCCCTTTCTATCAGGGCCTTTATCTCTCCACAGAGCTTCAGGGCATCCTGTGTTTGTATAAAGCTTCTGTGTGTGGTGTGTGTGTGCGCGCGTGCACGCACATGAACACAGACACACACCATGTACACACACATATCACATGAGCACACATATGCCCACATGCACCCCTGTATGCCTGCACCACAGGTATATCCACACATCCATGCATGCATGCAGATTGCTCAAAGGACCTCCTCACTGTGATGAGTAGGATGTGTGTGCACTGGCCTGTCAGTGCCAAGTCTGCCTTTAAATGTGATCTGGATCTGCAACTGCCACGCATATCTGAGAATGGTTGTGAGACGATGTATGTGCTACACAGAAGTCAGGATAACTGGGGCCGGGCTGACCCTTGGCCCAGCATGCTTGGGTGCACATGTGGAATTCTATGCAAGGGGCTGGAGTGGTGGTGTCTGTTTCCCAGTGTGTACACTCACATGTAAAAAATGTAAAGCCGTCTTATCTCCTGAGCCTGCTGGGCACTGAGGAGGGCTGGTGTCCTTGTGAGGAGGGAGGAAAGAGGAAGCTCGAAGGAGCATTCATATCTAGAGCCTACCTCTGCACCTATGTGTGAATTTGAGAACTCTGGTCAGCACCAATTTCTCTTTGGCGAAACCGCTTCCAGTGGGATGGGTTGGTTAGCCCACCCCTGTGACATTCCAGACCTCACAGACCTGGGCTTGTCTTTGCAGGAGGAGCAGCTGCGGTCTCATGAGAATAAGTTGAGGCAGGTGACTGCGGAGCTGGCTGAACACAGGTGTCATCCAGTGGAGAGAGGCCTCAAGTCCAAGGAGGCGGAGGAATACCGGCTGAAGGAACATTATCTCACGTTTGAGGTAGGTCTTGGGAGGTGCATGGCAGAGGTCAAAGCTGGGGCCAGAGGAGGAGGCCAGCTCCCACCCTCCACTTCCTGCCATCAACATCTACATGCCAGGGCCTCTAGTTTGAGACTCTCCTATGTGGGACTCTCTTAGGCAGGTGTAAGCCACAGTGTCCTGTGGTCAGTCTTGTACAGTCTGGCTGTCAAATATTGATCAGTCTTGCCTGTGCCTGGGTCTCTCCAGGAGCCCCTAACATCTACTCTGCAATGTGAGAATAGATATGACAGCAGGTGTCGTGGGCTTGCTCAGGGTGAGGCCTGGCGCTCTTCCCTTCCTTGCATGGGCTGAGTTCACCTTCATGTCAATGCTGTGAAAGGGTTTCTATAACTGTACCCATTTGACAGAAAGGTAAACTGATGCTCGGAGAAGGCAGAGCACTGGCCTGAGGTGACATACCTAGGAAGAACAGGACCCAGGATCCTAACCAGGTGATGGCTGCAACCCTGGCATCTGAGTCCTCTCTTCCTTGGCTTGATGTGGGTGGAGAGGACATGGGCAGAACTTGGGGAAAAGGCTCCCCTGATGGTGGAGAAGGCCTGAAGCTCAGAGTCAAGGTGCTCAGACACTGCTAGGTCCCCTTCCTAAATGTTGATAGCAACTTACATCCCTTTTAAAGTGTTTATGAATGCATCCATTTCTTCACGCCCTTACCAACACTGGGTATTCAGAAATGTTTTAATCTTCATTGACCTCACAAGCTTAACAATCATTGTCTCATTACTATCTTAATTTACATTTTATGTTATTAATTAAAAATATTTCTTTTTATTTATGTGTGCCTGTGTGCATTCTGCATACTCGTTTGTTGATGCCCATGAAGGCCAGGAGAGAGGATCAGATCCCTGGGTGCTAGAGTTACAGGCTGTTGTGAGCTGTCTAATACAGACACTGAGACCTGAACTCAGGTCCTCTGCATGAACGGCAAGCTCTCTTAACTGCTGAGCCATCCCTTTTTAAAAATCGTAGTTGTGGCGACACCTAACAAAATGGTGCCATCTTGATTGCCTTTAAGTGAGTAGCTCAGTAGCTTTCTTCACATTGAACCAATCTCCAGACTTCTCTCTCTCCCCAAAGGGCAGCTCTGTGCTCATTAAATATAATTTCCTTATCCTTCAAAGCACGGAAGTTTTAAATATCAACGCAGTCCCAATAATCCATTTTTGTCTTTATATATCTAAGACAGCATTGACAGTATTTGGATTTTCAAGGTATAAGTGAGAAGCTGGGCATTGTGGGGCATGACAATAATCCCAGTACTCAGGAAGCTGAGGCAGGAGGATCACTGCAAGTTCAAGGTCAGTCTAGTTTGCAGTGGTTCCAGGCCAGCCAGGGATACATAGTGAGATAAGAAAAGTATGAGTGAGATTTATGTGTATGTAGTCCGCCTATCTTCTATTGGATAGTCTATTTCCTTTTTCTAGATACCACAGAAGTCAGTGTTCTGCTACTTAGTTTTCTGAGATGGATCCCCCACCTCCATTTTGTTGCATCTCTTTTGACTTTATTTTTGGCTTTTGTCTGCCCTTTTCCTAGAAAAGCCGTTATGAGACCTATATCCACCTCCTGGCTGTGAAAATCAAAGTGGGTTCAGATGACCTGGAGCGGATCGAGGCCCGGCTGGCTACTCTGGAAGGGGATGACCCAGCTCTCCGGAAAACACACTCAAGCCCTGCCCTCAGCCTGGGCCACGGGCCTGTGACTGGCAGCAAAGCCACCAAGGATGCCTCTACGCCTGATACTTAGCTGGTATGGCTGTGCAGGCCCTGGAGGCAGGCAAATGTCCCCAGAGGGGTCAGTGAGCACAATTCCAGCCAGAGGCTGCTTGGACCAAGCTCCAGGCAGTTAACCGGCAACCGGAGGGGTACGGAGAGCCTTGTGATCAAGGAGATACCATTCACGGCGCTGATCTTCTCACATTCTGGGCCACCTCTGGCCTAGAATCTCTCCTAGCCCTGGCTGCCCTCAAGTCATGGGACCTGGCTTTGCAGGTCAGACATGCTCCAGGGCTGCCAGCTGGAGAAGCCCGCCTCTGTTGCTTCCCCAGGCCCTTTCTCATCAAGCTTCTCCCTCATCTTGTATTTGTGAGGATGGGTCTGAACTCTGGGTCTAAGCTTGGACACCTACCCTGTCTCCTCTTTCCTCTCAGTTGACCAGCAGCATCAGGTCTATGGACCACCAGCAACGCCTTCTCCTTTCCTTTTCCCAGCAACCTTTGCAACTGGTCCCGTTCTCCGGCCTCACATTGCAATAATCTGAGGCCTAGCCTCCACTCAGTGCCAAGCTGATTCCACTCACGTGTATGTTCGCCTCTCCTTTTATCCACGGAGGCCTCTCCTGCCTCTTTTTTATATGGACACATATAAATTATATATATATGTAAAGAACTCATTTAAAGAAAGTTTGAGAACTACTACCAATTAGAGGATGAAATAAGCTCATCTCAGAGCTCGGCCTGCTATGGGGCCCTCCGCCGCCGCCCTGACACTCTGGATGGAAAGATGAAGACCCTCTGTGTTTTTTTTTTTTTTGCCTTTTCCTCTTCCAGCTGACTTGTGATTCACAGTCAGTTTTCCAGTTGATGCTTTTGGACTAAACAGGATATGGGTGTCACCTCCTCTGTCCCAAGGGTGTCTGTCCTGTGGGCTGATGGCTCAGGAGCACACCTCTGTCTGTTTGGATCTTCTTGTGAATGCTGCGAGGTCGCTGAGCTCCAGCGTGGCCTCTGTGCAGACCTACTGGCAGGAATGAAGGCCACTGTACCTTGCGGAGCGCCACCCACCAGCAAGCCCAGGCTGGATGATAGAATAAGGTGGAGGAAGCTGTTCGTTCATTCATGGTCTCGGGGAGGAAGGAGGTGGAGTAGCAAGGTTTTTAATTTTTTTTTTTTTTAGTGAATCAGAAAGGCCTAGCTAAGGACGTAGTTGAGAATAGAGACACGTCACAGGTTGACATCCTTTAAACCTTGCATCACATAGACCAACAAGTGAGTTGGGGAGCGGGGGGCGGGGGGATGGCCCTCTCAACAAGCTACCGTGAACCAGTCTTTCCTATTGTTTGGCCAACAGTTTGACCTCTTTGGTGACATAAGCCTTGTGACTAAGCGCCTAACATTTAAGGTCCGCTCCCATTGGATGTGGGGAGCTGTGAGTATGTGGAGAGGCGTAAGGGGTTTTAAATCCAAATTGTTTAAATTGGATTAGCTGGAGTGTGTATTATAACCAAACCATCTGGCCCCTTTGTTTTGCTCAGGGGAGTAAATGCTCATTTGAATGAGATCAGAAAGGCTATTTAGGGCCAGTAAAGAGACCTCAGCCCTTTGTCCAGCTGCCTGAGGGTCCTTTGATTTTCAGGCCAGTGTCTCACTCTCTGTGTCCTGGGGGTGGGGGCGACAGCAGAGGTGCAAGCTCATTAGCCACAGACACGCGCGGTTTCCCCCAACACTAGTCACGCTTCCCATCAGTAAAGACATTTTTTTAGTTCGCTTCCTTAATTGTATAATTCTTTATTTGTAAATTATATACATGTACTACTGTACTAAAATATTATGTACATTATAAAACATACACAAAAATAGAAATTTAAAAAAGATGAGATGAAAATAAATCTAAATCAAAGTTCTAGTATTTTTTTTCCTGCCTTCTAATAGACCATCACGTTCCTCTCCCCTAACTGCTGCCCCTAACACGCCCATAAGGATTAGTCCAATCCAGGGCCTGACAAAATGCAGTAAGTGGTCTGCTCCATCTAGAGGTCCTGGGAAGTTGTCCAGGGCTCAGGAACGCCTCCTGATGGCTAACTCTTGAGGATCGCCTCCCACCTCCTCAGGGAGGGACAACCATGTGCCATACGCGCTGTTGCTGGGTGCTAGGGACGGTGGTTAAAGAGGTCAGCTCCCTGTCTTCATGGGTCTCACAGTTATGGGGAAGTCTGGGTGAGAAGTGGTTATCATCGCCACTGCGGACTCTGAGAGGGGCTGGGGAGAGACACTAAAAGTAATACTACAGAGTAAAGAATTTGGGGAACGGGGAAGAGAGTTTTGACCTAGGAAGCTGCCTGAATGTCCTGAGTGTTCCAGGGGACAGGGTGGTTGGTGGAAGGGAAGTAGCTTAGTGTGATTGCAATGCTTCCTGAAAGGCCACACACTCAGTTTCCCCCAAGGCTGAAACCTGAGAGGCAGAGTGGGCAAGAGGGTCTCTCTGGGCAAGCAAGCATGCTCCTGAGTCCCAACCATACATGTCCATTGACTAGGTGGCTGATGCCATGAGGAGAGAGCTGAGGAACTAGGTTAAGTTCTGGCCTTGGACTCTTGGCAGGTATCTTAGGATCCAGGGCAGATGCTGAGGGAACAAAATGGGGTCAGGTACAAGTTCACTAAATGGTTACTTGAAGTCAACCAGGGTCATATACAGATAGGAGAATTCATCTGAGTCATAAAGGTGGTTTCTGGATGAAAACCTAGAAGGCAACAACTTAAAGCCCTCATAGAGGCTAAGTGAGGGCTCTAACCCGGATCGGAATAAGATCTGACCAGTGGCTTCACCAAGAGGTCAGAGCAGTGAATTTGGGGTCCCATAGAGATCAGAGGTCACACGTAAGGATTATGGCCCTAAGAAAGCTCTCAAGACAACAGCAAACGATAGCAGAGGGATCTAATGAGAGCATCTCCTGGGGCCGGGAAGAGGTCCATGCTCTACAGGTTTGTGTAACATTCAGCTCAGTAATTTTTCTTTCATTTTTTCCCCCTTCGTAGTACGTGTCCCCTCAGCACCCCTCAACGAAAATAATGACTTTATAAATTTAGACTTTTCTTAATCATCACCTCATCGAGTCTTTGCCACTTTGTGATTCAAGGTTGCGAGGCTCAGGATTCTGTCACCACCCCCTTCGAGGTGGCCATCGTCCAGCCATCTGTCAGGAGCAGCGCTGGGTCCATCTGCATGTGGCCACCACAGCAACTCGATGAGGGCTACAATTTCTTCCTCATCTCTCACTAAGCAGCAACTGTGGGTTGGAGAAGGCACAGAGCTAGTGAGGGCCAGAGCTGGCACTCGATTCCGTCCCTCATGTTGCTCTGTGCCTCTGGGTCCCACTCCTCTATCAGTGCCTGTCTAGTTCTATGCTGGGCCATTCGAGAATGTGTATAAGCATACACAAACGTGTACACGTTCACCCCAGCTCTTTGGAGAGAAGGCTTCAGTTCCAGGAGGCTGGCATCTTGCTTCCTGGTATTCTAGGTAGCTGATGAGAAAGACTCTTCACCCTGGACTCCATCTGCCTCCTCCATGCCTGAGATCAGACCTTCATCGGAGCTGCAGGTTTAGACATGCCCTGCCTCTGAGGGGGTTTAAATAGGGGGAAAGAGCAATACCCTGTGGGCTTCGAAGCTGCAGCTGTTCTGGTCCTTCTGGCAATGAGGGTACCCATTATACTGTCTTACATGTCCAGACTCTGCCTGTGACGTGCCTGAGGCCCCAAGGGTCATCTTTACCTCCGCTGCCCCGGTGCCAACCCCACAGCCCTATTCTTCCCTCTTCACCCACCTGGGCGGGAAACTCTTGCCTCAATCCAGCTCCCTAGCTCCAGGGCAGGGACTGGGCCAGAGTTCTGAGGCTGAGTTTAAAGCACAACAGTTTGCGTCAATCCCTTGGCTGGGTTTCCCAGCACCCAGGGGGGACACCTTATAAATGATTTGGAAGGAAGACTTGGAGCAGGTCCTTGGAGCTGGGGCCAGCGGAACTGGAGAGAGGGTCACTTCCGCTCAGGGACTGCCCTGGCCCTCTCCAATCTTTATTCAGTACCCATGTGCCTTATCCCAGGTCCTGATTCTATCTACCCTCCTCACCTGGGGCCAGGTACACACAGTCAAACAGGAATTAGTTCTGATTTTATTTATAATATAAAAATGTTCAAGTGTCAACAGTCAGGTGTTTGGACATGTCAGGATTTCCCGTTTGCTCCTGTTTGGGATTTTTTTTTTTTCTTGTCTGTTTTTTTTTTTTAGACAATTGCCATTTTTGACAAATTAGCATTGGATCCAGTTGTGAGGGCCGGGGTGGGCAGGACTGGAGGATGGAAGTCATAGGTGGGGTGGGGGCTGGGCTGTGAGGACACGGTGTTACTTTATTGCTAAAAGGGGAATCGAATACACTGTCGGAGTGGCTCTTCTGGGTCCCAGCGTGACCATGCATTCAATCTAAAGAATCTGAAATGCAAAGGACATGCAGGCGTAAAATAGAAAAGACGACCTGTAAACGAAGGTGCTGCAGAGGGCAGAGGCTATCCTGGAGGCCGCAGGGGAGGAGGAGCCGTGAAGGTTGGGCCCCTGTAGAGGCTGCCCCCTCCCTAGGCCGGGGGCTGGTGGGGAGACTGCCTTCTCTGTCCTCTTTCCCTTAGCAGCTGTGAGGAGCGGGGAGGACCCCTCCCCATTCTAGTCGCTGTAGTGGGGGGGCCTGTGTCTCCCCCTGGAAGTAAGCCGACCTCAATTCCAGCTGTAAGCTTAGGATCCCCGCTCTCTCTGCCCTGGACTCCAGATTTGGACTGGGGAAGATAAAACTCTGCCTTGTCTTCACGTTCTTCCTCACTGTCCACTAGCCTCAGGGACATTAGAACCTCGGTCTGTCTCTTCTTTCCCTGCCTTTTCTCACCTCCACTGGTTTGGGATCCTACAAGCGCCCATCCCCACCCTGCACCCCAGACGACTCTCCAGGAGCCCCAGATTAGCGTACAGCAAAAGGCACCACAATATAGGTTTCTATTAAAGAGTCAAAAAATTGGCCCATCTCTCTTTTTTTTTTTGTTGTTTCTTTTTTTTTTCCGAAGCTGTAAATCAGGATGTTACATATAAATAGTTTCCCTATAAAAACGTCTTTGCCGTTAGCTAGTATTATAAGACAATTTTTTTTTGCTAAAATGAAAATAAAACATTTTGTTATACTTTTTTTCCTTTTTATAGAAAATAAAAATATTTTTATTTCTTTGTTTGCTCCTATTCCCTCTCCAGTCGGTGGTCTCCGCTCTCCCTGGAGACCCGGGGTGGGCGAGGCGGGGGTGGGGCCCTAGAGGGGCCCCGAGTCCTGCTTGGCCCTCGTGGGCGGCCCACGGCTGTGTCTGCTGCTGGCGCGCGTGCTGTGGCTGTCCAGGGAGTAGTAAGTCCTGCTGTCGGCCGCCGGGCACAGCGGCGGCGAGTCCGAGCGCAGCGCGTCGTGCGCCGCTCGCAGGCCGAGGAAAGGCGTGCTCTCGGCCGCCAGCGCCCCGTCCGCGTCGTCGTCCGCGTCG